ATTATTATTATTATTATTATTATTATTATTATTATTATTATAGATTTTGGTATCCATGGAGGTGTGTGTCCATAAAATTTACATGGCCCTTTACAGAAACAAGCACTTCAAACATTAAATCCTGTCAGAGGCATACAATCTAGGATAAAATATAAACCATACAAGAATTAAAAACAAATTATACAAATAAAATGCAATACAATAAAGGCAACTAACATAACATCAAAACAGTATTAATATAAAATTCCAAAATGCTTTAGCAAACAGTAACGTCTCCAGTTCAGATTAAAGGCATGTAACAGATATATCATACATATAACATATAACATATAATATTCTTTACATATAACTCCCTTAGGTGGAAAACACACTGCAGAAATGATCCAGTTTGAGACCGCTTGAACTGCCCTGACTCAATGAGAGGGAATTTGGGAATTGTAGTTTTGTGAGACATGTAGCCTTCTCTGTCAGAGAATTCACAATAAACTATAATTCCCAGGGATCCCTAGCACTGAGCCAGGGCAGTTCAAGCGGTCTCAAACTGGATCATTTCTGCAGTGTTTTGGACCTAGGGGAGTTATATGTAAAGAATATTATATGCTATATGTTAAATGTTATATGTATGATGGATGCTCAAGTCCCATTGAATTATTATTATTATTACTACTATAGTGGGCCCTTGGTATCCACTGGGTTTGGTTCCAAGTCCTCAATGGATACCCAAAATTCATGGATGCTCAAGTCCCATTAATAATAATAATAATGATAATAATGATAATAATAATAAAATTTATTTATATACCGCCCAATGGTTGCCCAATCCGGGCGGTTTACAACATAAAACAATGACAGTAAAAGCATATCCCTTCCCCCCTTAAAACAGTATTAAACATCAACATAGTTGACATAGTTAACATAGTTAAAATCCTAATGGAATTGTTATTATTGTAGTTGGCCCTTGGCATCCACTGGCGCATGGATCCCCAAAATCTATGGATACTCAAGTCCCATTGAATACAATTGAATTA